GGAATGTGGGTTCGTGCTCCAAATGTGGAAAATGAATTTCAAACTGCTGTTAATGCTTTACTAAATGAGGAGTGGGTTTAATAAAAATTTTACAAATTTCGGATAATTTTAAAATAAAATAGTTCAGATCAAATTAAATATATATTTAGTTACGGATTCTTAGCAAGAGCTCATCAATTTGCTGCGCAACTTCACACTCAACAAAATACACCTGAACAAATATTTCTTAATACTGTCCGAAATGCTATTGACTCGAATGTTCCATTTGACGACTCAATTCAATTGGGAGACATTCAATTTTATCATCAAGAGTAAGTTTGTAGTACTACACCGAATTTCAAACTAACAAAAATATTATTTGTTGAAATTTAATCTTGAGGCATTTCCGCATACAAAACATGCATTTGCATCTTTTTATGAATAGATTTTAAATTATTAAATTTTAAAATATACATATATCGTTCTTAAATCTTTTTAAATTTTAGTTTATAAGAAATTTAACTGGTGAAAAAGTGGAGAGATGCTTTGAGAATCTATATTCGTAAATTATGCTTTCTTTTTTTGTTTTGTAAGTCAATATCAGAGGTGCGATCTTTTCCGATTCACCTTGCATTTTTGACCCTATCTGAAAAGAAGGTTCGATTCAATTTTTCCCCTTACTTTTTCCCAGAATGATTAATTTTCATCAATATTTGAAACGTTATAAGGAATAGGCTTTAGTTACTGATGCAGAACCCAGCAATCCTTCTCTCTTGCTGGGCGCGTGCAGCAAAATGCCAGTAGGTTCGCCGATGCAATATGTTTATGTTCTTTGATTTTTTTGTTTGCTCCCGGAGCCATACCCAGCACTGGTCTGGGTTTAAAATTTTTTTTTGGCTTGTGTCTCTGGTCGGTCAGTCAAAAATTTGCCCAGATTTCTCGTGAGGTAAAAAATCTATCTAGTCAATATCCAAGCCCTTCGAATGAAAAGAAAAGATTATCATTTTTACCCGTCTTAATTTTCTCGTTCTCCTACCGATACCGGCCACTTAAAAAAATTGAATCGACCCTTCTTTGCAGATAGGTCCATCTTTTAAAATGAGACAGGGTCTTCACTGCACCATATACCGTAAATTCTCTAATAGAAGCACACCATCCAATAGAAGCACACCCTCTAATATAAGCACACCCTACGAGAGGATCGAAAAATAAAAGCACATGTGCTTCTATTAGAGAATTTACGGTGTATTCACATATACGAGTTACTGTGGTGAAGATTATTTTAAAAAATGTCTATTCTTTGTTTGTGAAAAACTATTTTATTTTAAAAGTTAGACCAACTTCAAACTACACCAAATTTCAACTACTAATTGCTTAGAATACAATTTTCACCCCCATTTTACTCCGGGATCATCCTCAATATTGGATTTGTATCTCACTATAATGGATGACATTTTATCATAAATTGGTTAATTTTTAAGTTTATTATTAAAAACATTTTTATTATTTTTTAAAAGCGACACTAAAAATATTTTAAAATTTATTATTAAAATTTTTTCGTTTTAAAAATAATTTTCGAGAGTTAAAAATATTTTTGAGTTCGCGTTTGTTATTTTTCCACAAAATCCAATGTTGTTCTATTTAGTCAGCAAGGGATATGCACAAATTTTTTTGCTTACAATACTCAAAATATTTCTGAATAAATCAATTTTAAATTGATTTATTGATAAATTCGTCTAAAATCTTTGAGAGTGTCAGAAGGATAATATATAAATAATTTTTTATTATTTTTGAGGTTGTAAGCCTTTTTTTGTTGTGCAAATCCCTTTTAACCAAATTACATTTTTAAATTAAAACTAAGAAGTCTGTGAATTTTATTTGCTTTTATTAAATTTTTACATCTAATTTTTATTTTTATTCACTTTAAATGAATGACTTTTTTGATAAACATATTAACTTTTATTCAGTTTTGTATGTCCCTCCTTATGTAGACGAGTACAACAGATACTTTATTATACGAAGAAAATACAAAAAGGTTGAGGTATGAAGAACTAACGAAAAATAGAAGGAACTATTGGCTTCACTTTTATACTTGCAAATATGAGATATCCTTCTAAATGCAGATATCCATCTTAGTGCAGATATCCTTCTAAATGCAGATATCCATCTTAGTGCAGATATCCTTCTTAATGCAGATATCCATCTTAGTGCAGATATCCTTCTAAATGCAGATATCCATCTTAGTGCAGATATCCTTCTAAATGCAGATATCCATCTTAGTGCAGATATCCTTCTAAATGCAGATATCCATCTTAGTGCAGATATCCTTCTAAATGCAGATATCCATCTTAGTGCAGATATCCTTCTAAATGCAGATATCCATCTTAGTGCAGATATCCTTCTAAATGCAGATATCCATCTTAGTGCAGATATCCTTCTAAATGCAGATATCCATCTTAGTGCAGATATCCTTCTAAATGCAGATATCCATCTTAGTGCAGATATCCTTCTAAATGCAGATATCCATCTTAGTGCAGATATCCTTCTAAATGCAGATATCCATCTTAGTGCAGATATCCTTCTAAATGCAGATATCCATCTTAGTGCAGATATCCTTCTAAATGCAGATATCCATCTTAGTGCAGATATCCTTCTAAATGCAGATATCCATCTTAGTGCAGATATCCTTCTAAATGCAGATATCCATCTTAGTGCAGATATCCTTCTAAATGCAGATATCCATCTTAGTGCAGATATCCTTCTAAATGCAGATATCCATCTTAGTGCAGATATCCTTCTTAATGCAGATATCCATCTTAGTGCAGATATCCTTCTAAATGCAGATATCCATCTTAGTGCAGATATCCTTCTAAATGCAGATATCCATCTTAGTGCAGATATCCTTCTAAATGCAGATATCCATCTTAGTGCAGATATCCTTCTAAATGCAGATATCCATCTTAGTGCAGATATCCTTCTAAATGCAGATATCCATCTTAGTGCAGATATCCTCTTAAATGCAGATATCCATCTTAGTGCAGATATCCTTCTAAATGCAGATATCCATCTTAGTGCAGATATCCTTCTAAATGCAGATATCCATCTTAGTGCAGATATCCTTCTTAATGCAGATATCCTTCTTAAATAACCAATTGATCATACAAAACCACCAAAAGCTCCAAAAGAGGTCTTTAATAACATACCTTTGCAAACTGAAGAATTATCACGCTGAAATGTCGAGTTCTTTGAATAAGAGTTCATTGTGTTTCTATTTGTATTAAATTTGAGTTTTCTATAGATTTCTAGAATTTAGTTTATAAAGTTTAGATTGTATAAAAAGATATTTGAATAAAGTTTATTATTTGTGAAACTTTAAATAAGTTAAGTTAAGTTTTAACAACAAGATTCTTTTAAAATATTGTGTAGTATTTTAATTGTTGAACAAATTTGATTTTAAAGAAATTGATTTTGAATAGAAAAGAAAAGAATTTAAACAATAGAAATAGAAAATATTGTTTATTCCTTGGAATAAACAAAAGAAATACTTAAATAAATAAATTTAAAGAAAATATTAAAATTTATTTATTTTTTAACATTGTCCAGCAAAAACATTTAATTTGAAATTTAATTTTATTTGTTTTTGCGACAGACATGCCGACATTAAAAATTTTTTATCAATAAAAAACGTGAAATTGAAATCAATATACGGCTATTTTTGACAAGATTTAAGGCTATTGCGAAATAATGTAAAAGAAATCAGATTTGGGGCGGTTATAGAATATACATATTGCATAATGCCAGTGAAAAAGAGAATCCCATTGCATTTAATTATACACGTTGCATTTAATTAAACACATTAAAGAAATCGACCTTATCACCCAGCAGATCACAAAATACTTGAAGATTTAAAAATGGCCTACGACTCATGGAAAATGTTAAGATTTCAATGTCAAAAAGTGAAAGGGCAAATGATAAAGTTTATTTATCTTTGCAGCCTATTGCCGCACCTATTAGTCCTGATTTGCCTCTCACTTAGCTGACCACGCTCAACTTTCCCCTACCGTCGTCAAATATCTATTATTTACAATAAGAAACACATTTATAAATTTTCTTTTACGAGAGCTTAAATGTTTTTTTTCAAATTAAAAAAAAATCGGATCAGATCCGCGTAAAAATCGGGTTCTTCTGGAGTTTAACTCGGAAAACCCGGCCCAATACAGTTTGAAGTGGAGGATATGAATACAGTGAGCGGCAATTTGAAAATTCGACTTTGATTATAACGAACACATTTATGCATCATGCCTTTGACATGCCGACATTAAAAATTTTTGATCAATAAAAAACGTGAAATTAAAATCATTATACGGCTATTTTTGACAAGATTTAAAGCTATTGCGAAATAATGTAAATGAAATCAAAATTGGGGCGGTTATAGAATATGTATACATATTGCATGCCAGTGAAAAAGAGAATCCCATTGCATTTAATTATACACGTCGATTTATTGGCTATAAAAACAGTCAGATCGACAGTGCTTTTTACATTCTAATCACTTAATAATTTTTTAATAATTTATATTTTTCGAACATTTGTTTATCTTATTGGTGTTTACTCTTCTGTTTAAATTCATTTACATTTTTATCTTTTTTTTTTGATTCACCTAGTTACAAATTTTGAATACATATAATTGAAAGAGACGTCGAGGTCGAAAATATTCTCTGACTTAAGATTCGAGTCCAATCTCAAAAAGCCGTGAAAAAAGTGGAGGCGAATATCTTAAAAATTTTATAATTTAAGATGCTAAAACTAATTGTTTTAAATTTCATTTTGTTAATTTATTGTTTAATCTTGTTGATTTGAATGGAGAAGTGTCTAAAGAAGAAAATGAAGAGTTTTTCGATGCAAAGGATGAATTCGACATTTCTTCCGAAATAGATGAAATTGATCAACATGTAAAGAATCAAATTGCTTGGATTTTAGAAAATGCTAGTAAATGTGATGAACAAGAGAAATGTGTAAATATGTTTTTGAATGATATGGCGATGTTTAATGATCAAGCCCAATTTGGAGGCATTGCTGCATTCTGCGAAAACTTGAAGTTTGACGAGAATGGAAAAATTGGGAATCCAATCAGAGTACTTTTTAAATTTATATATTTTTCTGCAATTCACAAAAAATCAAAATATTTTTCAAAAAAATTTTTAGGAACTTCTTAATGGAGGAATTAAAAATGAGGACGCAAAAATTCGTTTAAATCTTTATATCGAATGTGTTGATAATTTCTTCGCTAAAGATAGAGGACTTTTTCAAATGAAAAATTCTAAACACTTGGAATTTTCAGAAATTAACAAAAAGCTTTTTCGAGCATTTTTGCTTACCAAACCTTTGTATATTTCAACTCTAATGTACGAATCAATTCAAAATAAAGACACAAATGCTTTATTAGAAATTGTTTCCACTCAAAAATTAGAGGATTTAAATGTGGCATTGAGGATAATGATAGCTCTTCATCCGGATTTAAAATTGGTTAAAATGGACAATGACATAGTCGATTTTAGAGATTTCTCAAAGGGTCAAAGTGTGTTCGATGCTGAAACCCTAGAACAATTTTTAAATTGGCGTTTTGACCCAAATTGTAATGAAAAGCCCACAGAAGATAAGGTAAATTCTTGAAAATTTTTCATAATTTGTAGCATAACTTTAAAATATTTAAAAAAATTTAGATTGGATGGTTAAACAATCCAAAGAAAAAGATTCTGAATTATATGAAGAATTCTAAGCAAGGGTGCTTAGAGAACCCTACTATTTCACACTATATGGAAATTTTGGAAAACAAAAACGAACTAAATAATTTCTTTCTTCGTCGTTTCAATTGTGCGATGAAAGCTTTTGAAAATCAAAAACAAGAAAAGACATCGTTACATGTGGATGACTTGATCCGAACACTTATTCTCTCATATAGCGTTGATGAGGAAAGCATCACTTATTTAATGAAAGTAAATGAAAAGAAAGAGCTTGAAGATAGAATTAACAATGCTTTTTTTAATCTTCAAGGATGGAATGACAAAGTTTTCAAATACGTGTGCAAACGGCTTTTAAATCTTGGTAAGTTAAAGAGGAGAGGTTAGTGAGAATTAAATAAATCTATCGCCTCTAATTTTTACCCTCGAAATGTATACCTTACAAGTATATTTAAATGACCTTCAATGGATAATGTATCGGGTACCTAAATTTTTTTATTTAAATTTATACTTAACAGACAATGCTTCCCAAGTCATGTCCTACAACCGATTCATTGAACATTATGGAGAAAATATTGTAGCATTCACAAATGCTTTAACAAATGTTGAAAATCTTGTTAACATCAAAATTGAAAACAAAAAAGTCAAAATTACAAATGATAAATTCTATAATGAATTAAATAAAGTACCAGGTTCTTCAATCCTCAAAGAACTTATTGAGGAGATAAATGATGGTATTATGGTGAAGTTGGGTAAATTGATTCGTGAAATGATAGAAAATCAAAAGAAAAACGATTTGATTGTATTCATCTCGAATCATCTGCGTGCAGCATATTTAGCATTAGCTCTAGCATTGAATCACGGTGTGGAAAAAGTAGATGATATCGAGAGCAAAGTTAAAATCATTATTTTAAAAATATCTAACGAGCAATTAGACAAAATTAAATCAATTAATTTTGATTCGATTAAAAAATTGTTGGATGAAATTTCTATAAAATTGTCTAAACAACACATTGATTTTGTTAATGATTTGATAAATGAAATGATAAATTTGATTAATGATGTTGATTTTAAATGTGAGTATTATTAGCTACATACATATGTATTTAAAACATTGCTGTCCCTTAATGTCAATCTTTCTTTGCTTTTTCCGTTTTGCACTTTTATGTTTGATCTTGTCCTTCATTAAAAAAATTATATTTTTTTCAGTGAGTGGAGATTCCGGCCACAATTTCTTACCAGATTTTGTTGATTTTCGAGCAATACAACTTTTTGATAATGGGGAGAACAAAAATTTTGTGGATCGTTTAATTGAGAAAATATTCAATTATTTGAAGAGACCAATTGATTGGATAAGAAATAAAGCTTCAAACAGCAAAAACATTGTGTTCCTGAATGAGTTTAAACAAATTAATTCGTTTGTGGTTGTTATTGAAAATTTTATAACCAAGAAAACGCCCATAGAGAAGCTCTATTTTAAACTAAATAAAATTAAAAATCATGGAGAAAAATTGTCGAAGGAATTACGATTTTTTCTGAGCAATATCCTCAACAATTGGAATGATAAAATCAAATTAAAAAAAGAATTTTTAAAATTATTTCATTATATAACTGACTTTCGAAATGCCTTAAAAATTAATGAAAATGAGGAAAATATTTTTACAAAAGAAGAGATTGATGTAGAAACAGACAATTTTAACAAAACGACAAAGAATGATCTTAAAAAATCTTTTAAAGAAATAGTTAAATATGTAAAGCGATTTATGAGTAATCTTAAAAACAAGTTGAACGAAAACCCAGATAAAAATTATAAGAAAAATGATTGGCCAATTTTGGCAAAGTATTTTGATCGAGAAGTTAAAGTTGGTTTAAATTTATTATTTAATATAAAGCAAAGCATCACTAAATAAAAAATTTCACCCACAAAGCAAAGTTATTTTAAGTTTAAAATAATCTTTATTCAAAAAGAAAAAAGTGGAAAATTTTCAAGAGTGAAGGGCTTAGATCTCGAATTTTTAAAAATCCGCATTTATTTCAAAAATCCGCAAAAAATTATTAAACACGCAAAATCACTTTATGCGTTATTTTTTGACTTTAACATATGAATTGCACAATTTTTTTATTAATAATAATCATCTTCTGAAGTACCTTTATGAGAGCAGGCGATAATTTTTAGAATTTTGGAAAATTGTAAGGGAAAGAATGGTATTTTATTCTAAAATCTACAAGAAAATATTGAAAAATCCTTCTAATTTTTAAAAGACAATAAAATGAGGGAAAATCTGCAGAAATCGAGGCTCTGGTTTAATTTTTAATTTTCAGAATACTTTCAAATCCAATTCATCGTATTTGATTCGTAAGAAACGACGCTGCAATGGTAATTGTTTGAATTTAAGTCCCATGGCAGTAGTATATACTAGGGTAATATAACATTTATAACAGAAAAAAAACTCAGTTTTATTACAAAAATGTAAAAATGGTATATAGCTCTTTTATATACTAAAAACTGAGTTTTTTGGCCTGTTATAAATGTTATATTACCCTAGTATAGACTAATTTTTTAAAAGAAAACTCCAGTCGAATAAGTCTGAAGGTTCTAAATGCTTTCGATGGACGAAGAAAAAGAAATAATAAAAAATTTTAACTTATAGGGGAGAATAACGATAAATAATCATCAGAACAAAGCAAAGAACACTTAAAACATTAAAAAAAGAAAAAATACATTAGGAAAATTTTATGAGCAATTTATTTATTAAAAAATTTAAAAAGAAAAAGTAAGCGAAAAAAATGCTTAAAAGGCGTAAAATAAAAAGGAATAGAAAAAGTAATTTAAAATAAAATTAAAAAATATTAACATAAAACCATATCGCATTTGTGGTGATTGGAGGTGGGTCGGAACAGTAGGAGGTGTCGGAAATCGGAAGAGCGTAGAAAATGAAATTGTTTCGGAAATCGGAAGGAAAAAAAGGAATTCCGATCCACCTCTGATGTGGTAAAAATGTAATTAAAAAATTTAATTAATATGTAAATTTAAGTAAAAATTTATATTTTAATTCAAAAATTCTCTTCATTTTTTAACTCAAATTTTTTCCAAAATTACACAACTAAAAAAAGAAAAATTTTTAAAAGATATCCCAACCCCCCCCCTCCTTACATTTAACGTCTACATAGAAATTTGTGAGATCCAAGCCAATTTTCAATATGATTGAGGCGTCGAGTAACAGCCGTATTCTGCTCTAGTAGTGCAATCACGGTATCGGCTAATGTTTGGAGCAATTTGCGTTCAGCAGCTAGCGTATCAGGAGATGGTGTATTGGGCGCAGAAGTATCAGCTGTTTGTGTAGGCGGTTCATGTTTAACTTTTCTAAATCAAAAATAAATTTCAAAAAAACAATATAAATAAAAACTTAGAGGAGCGAAACCATCGTTGCATCGTAGAAAGATGCGGAGCGTCTATACCATAGAGACGCAATAGCTCGTTATGTAGACTTTTGCCGCTAAGTCCGGTTTTGCTGTTTATTTCCATAGATTTTTTAAAAATATGTTTGTATTTATTGGAGACCATAACTAAAATAAAATTTATAAAAAATAAAAAATTTATAAAAAAATTTTAAAAATGAAAAAATTTTATTAAAAATTTTCCTTTTATCTATTCCTGGAAGTGTTTTCATTCACGTGCCTGTCCATTAATGGCTGATAATCCATTAACTTGAATATAGATCTTAATGGATTATCGGCCGCTAATGGACAGGCACGTGAATAATACACAGCCTAGAAACACTTAAAAAAAAAGGGGGGGGTGAAAGGTCACCCCAAATTAAAACAAGTAAAAAAATTCCTAAAAAATAAAAAACCGTTTGTAACAACTGGAGAAACAAGACGAACAAAAGAAGGCTCAAACCTTTAGAAAAAATTAAAAAAGTTTCGAACTAAAAAACTAACGGAAAAGAAGCCCCGAAAATAAATTGAAAAAGCAGTCCGTCCTTGTTATGTGGAGGCTTAGCCAATTGTCTCAAGTCTGTTGCAAGATTGCTATCTTCATCAAATTTCTTCAATTTGACATTCCATTCATACAAATTTTCCTTTTCCAATTCGATTGAGAAAACGCCTAAATGTTAATTTTATATAAAAATCAAGACTGGGCACAATCAGTTAAGCGACCCGGAACCGAAAATCGGAGTCAAAACAAAGCGAAACCGTAGGGTACCGGTCAATAACCGGTTGCGGACAACTCTAATAATACCAAAAAATTAAATGTCTTGATACCATTTTTATAGTTATCACTGCTATATATCTGCTTAAGCTCTTTCATAAGACGATCTGACGCTGTTACAGAACCAGCTGGAGCGCCTATAAAATTTAACAATAATTAAATCTTCAATCAAAAAAACATTTAAGGTGCTGCTGACGTTGAACGTGAGAAACACGAGTAATAACGGCTAAACCAGCAGGTGGAACCTGAAATATAAAAAATAATTGTATATTCACTTGAAAAATTTTTAGGAGAGTAAAACGGGTTGCACAGGCAATACCATTTGGAGCTGAACAATAACTCTTTTTGGGTCAAACCACTAATGTTCCTCAATACTAAATAATCCGTTTAAAACAATTGAAAAAAACTAGTTTTATTTGTACCCAAAAAGTAAAAAAAGAAATCGGGGAAGAGGAAGGATAAATGCCAAGTACCAATAATTCCTAGTTATTAATGAATAAACATACCAGTCCATCTTCAGAATGCTCAACACGTGCAGCCCCAACATTCTCCATTTCGCACATCAAATCATCCTCCTCATCATCATCCACAGTGTTTTCCAATTCGCTTCCATTCCCTTCGCTCTATAAATAAAAATAAACAGAAAAGAAAAATTTAAAAGAAAAACCGGAGCAATCGCTTCAAGTTCTGTCTGCACTGTCAGTCTATGTGCAGTACAAAGCCTGAGAACCAACATATGCAAGTGTGCCAGAATACCTGTGCCATCTTGACTTTGAGTGAGCTGTTCAAGTAAAGCAGTGACTATAGCATCGTCAGATTCGCTGAACCAAATTGGAGGCTCTCGTGGGTATTTTTCCTAAAAAAATACAAGTTTAGCCAGTATTCGGTCAGCAGGATCTGAATCCAGATCTTGATTGTTTTTTGGATCCTGTCAAGATCAAGGTATTTTTTAGTGTTCCTTAACGTTTCCGAATCTGGTTAATGTCCTCAACCAAGACCAAGAACCAAGGTTTCTAAATTTCCGATCTCTAGTTTTTTCCAATCTCAGTAAATTAAAAACCTGAATATTAGCACAAATCTGAATAGACTTCCCATCTGTCCCAACGAAATTAACCTCAAGTTCGTCAATTGAAGCGGAAACAATCTAAAAAAGCATTTGAATCGATTCCCAAAGAAAACTAAACCTGAAAGCGTTCATATGTTTTGGGAAACAATCGTTCAAGCAAGGCAATATCTTCTCGAAGTTTTTGTAAACAGGCCATCTTTATATTAAGAAGAAAGGAAATTAGAAGTAAGCTTCGAGTAGATTGTCTAAAAAATGTGAATAAAATCAAGTCAAGAGAGAAAATTAGCATAGCACGAATCAATAAAAGGGACAAACGATGAAATATCAATCGATAATCAATCTTTGGCAATTTTTTGGTAAAAAGCGAATTAATTATTAAAAAATTGATTCAATCATTCCGCGAGAATATAAAGTTAGCCCAAAAAATCAAGGTTAAGAGAAAATTCTAGAAAAATCGAAGAGAAAGTGAAAAATAGATAGGAGGTAGAAAAGGAAAATGTCGTTTTGGAAAAAGTAAAAATGGTAGCTTTAAATGGGCAAGTGTTTCAGACCCTTTTTTCAATTTTTAAGAAATTTAAGTAAGCGTATAAATTAAATTTTATTTTGTAGATTGATTATTAAATGCACAAGCTGGACCTTTACCATCAAAAAATTCTTTGAATTTGTCAGAACTGCGTAGTCGGGTTATTTCTTATTGTTCTTTAATTAAAAAAATATTTTTTGCCTAAAGGTTTTGATTGGCCAACTTCCTGATGACTTTAAGTGTTTCAAAGCCAGAAGTAGATTCACCATTTCTCAAAACGTTCAAGTCTCCTAAAGCTTGGTTTGCTTTATAACAACCCATGCTTATGACTGCTCTTTTACGTAATTTGTCAAAGTAGGCTACTGGACTATTGGATGATAAAGTGAACAAGTTCATTAAACTTTCACTTGTCTTATGTTTTCTAGCAATGCTCCACCTGAAGTTTATCAAGAAGAAAATGGCTGGGAAGAAGTTGATTACAGCGAGGTTAAACTCCCTGATGTTCGTCAGATTCAAATACTTGGTCATGGTTCTTATGGGACAGTTTATAAGTGCACTTTTAAGGGTTGTTAACTTTTACCTATTAAGGACTGATTAAGTTTAACCATTTAAGGGTCGTCAAGTTGCAGTTAAAATTGCAAATAATTCAAACGATCTTATTTGTAGGTAGAGGCTAAACATCTGCATAGTTTTTGTCACCCAAACATAGTCAACCTTTATGCACTCTTTCGTGGCGAGTTTTGTGGCATTGTGATTGAATTAATGGAAGGTGGATCACTGGATGAATGTATATTTTTATTATTTTTTATGTATAAATTTAAATATTTTTAGTGTTGCATTTGCACAAGGATCTCACTTTTAAAGTATTTTTTTAAATAATTTTTAAGGGCACATCGTTTACTACCACCGTAACTTTGATATTGTTTCAGTATTATTTGATAGAGGACCCCGACTTCCTGTTGCTAGTTATATTCGTTTTTTGTTAAATGACTTTAGGCCAAGGTATGCCGTTCAAAGTCGCGGTGACAGTAAACAATGTTTCTTTTTAATTCAAAATTTTATTTGCAGACTTTTCATGTTTTGAATTGGTCATTGCAAGTATCTAAAGGTTTTTAACCTTTTTTAAGTTTCAATTTTAATTTCCAATTAAATTTTAGCATTATCATATTTACATTCAAACAACTTTATTCATTGTGATATAAAACCAGCAAAGTAACTTTTTTTATTTTATTTTTTAAATATTGATTTTAAAGCATGCTTCTCTCAAAGAACTACAAAACATTAAAATTATGTGATTTTGGAACTGTTGCTAATAAAAATGGTAATTTATGTGATAACAAAGGCTTTGCTGCTTGGATGGCACCAAAGGTTTTTCAAGGAGAAAGGTTTTTCTTTACAAGTTTTTTGAAAAAATTCTTTTTAAGTTATACCCATAAATCTGACATTTATTCTCTTGGAATTTCTATGTGGGAGATGGCTTTTCATTTAATGTGTACATTGGTTATACCGATGTAGGTGAACTTATAATATATGGTTATCTTTAATTTTGTTATTCTCGTTTGAGAACCATGGGCAGGAGTTCGCTCTCAGTTTTATAATATTTTTCAAATTTTCGGATCATTATTGTGCTAATAGTAGAATAAGGAACCTTTTGCAAATGTAGGTAGATTAGGGGCTAATTCTGATTTAAATAATAACAAGCAGTTTCTACAATCTTCTTAGTGACAAGTACACATAGAGAAAAGAGCTAATTTTATATACAAAAACCTAAAGGGGCGAGGGGCACAACAAGGAACAGACAAAATACAAAACTTAGAGACAATTTTGTGGATTTTTGAGGAGACCATTTTCGTAGCAGTCGAAAGTTCATTCTAACATTAGAAATCTCAATTATAATAAGGATATAAAAAATTTAGCAACTAAAAATTATTGCTTATGTAATAAACTCATGGTTTAACTTATGTTAAGTTATAATCAAGTAACAAATACTCAAATTTATCAACAATGAAAAAGACAATTATAAAACGAGACTAATCATAAAATTAAATTTATCTATTCTTCATTCGAAACAACATCTATACATTCAAGTGGATAAAAATATTGATGATTTTTTCCTCCAAACACACACAGAACAGGAAGGCGTGGAAGATAAAGGTTTATTCGATGACGAACGTAGAAGTACTGCCTAAAAATTGAAAATGTTAATAATAAATTTAATAATAATTTTACCTGATTGTAACTCGAAGATATCCTCTAAGTGCAAATACACGGTCAGCGCCCACTTTTGTAAGCTTACATGGATACAACTCCATCTGAAATTTATTTAAATGGTTTGTTATAAGTCCTTTGTTTTTCATTGGAGCGTATCCATCCATCAAGAGTTTTTGTCCAATTCCCGCTGAAATAACATCTTCTTCTGTCATTCCAGAAAGTTGCTGAATATATTTTAAATTTTCTTCTGTTCTTTTACGCATTTCACAGTGTAGAGTTTCAGGAGTACACCCTCCATTGAATTGACAAAGTAAACTAACAAGGGATGTTTTTTTAAGGCAAGGCGTGGTCGGCTTAGAATCGAAATCCGGACGTTTTTCCCTCCATTGAGTAAAAGCAGAGGTTGAAGAAGTACACGAGGTTCGCATGTTGATATTTTGTTAGTAAATTTTTCGCCTTTTATACCCTAGCAAGACGAACTGCTTCATTAATGTTAGTGCGATTAAAGAAACCATTTCGAGTCTGATAAAAGAATAGTAAAAGAAAAATAAACATTATGTACAAGATATAAGCAAAAGTTATTATAAAATTTTGTTGAGGAGGCATTATGATTTCACTATCTATAAAGATCGTATTATTTTCATATGGATTCCTTGTTATAGGAAAAATTAATCCGGAAATAACCATGATTAAAAATACCATATAAATTTACGTTTAGTCTTATATACCTTGCGCTAATTTTTGAACAAATTTTCTTAGAGCCATATCACGTCCTTCAGGAGGTATAGAGTGTAATTTCTGTAGTACCTCGGAAAATGTTCCATAAAGTGAACGCAAGACTAAAAAGCAAATACAATAGTGACCGCACGTGTCAGAGAAAGGTGATTGTAAAACAAAACGATTTTGTTTAACTTTTGAATAGTTTGTAAGTAGTGATTGGCGCATCTCACAATTAGGTTCTTCAGCTAACGAATCAAAATATTCTATAGTGTCCGATTCATCAGAAAAACAGGCAATCCAATGTTCTCCTCTAGTACCTTTACGCATTGTATTTGCAATAAAGCAAAAATTCTTTTTTTTAACAGAGGTAGGTATATTATTTGAAGAAAAAACCCCGATAAATTTATGTTTTAACGGTTTACATTTTTGTATAATAGTTTGAATTTGTAACGAATTCATATTGATCCGTCAGTACTTAAGACACGATCTGCATTTATGGACAGAATCGAGTCGAATTCACCCATAATTAGCATTTCATATCCCTCCTCTTTTACAGGTTCATTGAAAAGACACCGAACAGTTGTCGTTCCTTGTCTTATTAGTTCAAGGCCGTTGGTATCCTCAAGGGTTGAAGTCATAGGAATAACAAAAAAGCATGAAGATTTTGAAAATTCTTTCATGCCGATACTAAGAGTTCTTTGATCAAAGTTTGGCCAAGCATCGAGATCCATACCTGAATACATATCAACGAAAGCGCGTACAAAATTATTATTTGCAAAGTCTAGATCATAGGAAATAGAAGGGAACTGGAAGCCTCCAAATTCTGCAGAAACTGAACGAACATTAGCATTTTCAAAAGTGAAGGGAGAAAGAGTAGTGACACCAGTAAACGCAGAAGAACTTACGAAACAAATTATCAAGCGTCTTGGACATGTACTGGTAAATGCAGCGTGCGTAATTTCTTGTCGTCCTTTTCCAAGAAAAACACTGCGAATTTCATTCTTTTTATAAGCATATTTCGCGGGAGTTTGCTCTAAATGTCTAGAAATTGCGTTATTTAGTGACATACTCAAGTCGACTTGCTTAACATAAATTCTCATATCATGAAGTCGTAGTCGGTAAGTATGAGTGTTATTTACAAATTCTGCACCCGCAGCATTCGGAGGTATTATTCTATACTTGGGCGCGTGAATAAGAAACTCGTCAGAATTTCTATAGATAGTCCAAATTACGTCGCTGTGTGGAACTAAGAGCTGATTCTGCCTTGCCAAATCATAATCTAAATGAGATATCATTCTACAGAGCTTACCTTTAGAAAAACGGGAAAGACGAGATTTAAATCCCGCGCCTTCAAAATCATTTTTATCTAACGCATCTTTGTAATAAAGTGAAGCCTCATACAAACCCCTACTTACTTCACGATCCGCACCAAGTTCATGGAGAATTATACATCTGTAAGCATAGTGGATGCCAGAGTCAAAACATTGAGTACCATTAATGGAAAGAGTCAGACGACGAATCCATGTAAGCCCTAGATATTGGGCAACACTAGTAAACCGATCCTCCTTGAAATCGCCATATCCGTCTGTAATTGGAACCCACTCACCAGGTTCGTCGACTTTTCTTTCAAGTGATAAAGTCAAATGGAAATAAGTTTTGCTTAAATCAAGATAGAGAGAGTCACCAAAGTAACGAAAAATAAAAGGTCCTGCAGACTGATTGAGAGCATTAAGAGGAAGTAATTCTTTGTATGTCGAACGCTGAATTCCTACATTTGTAGCAGGAACAGAAAAGAATGTAATTCTATTATCAACTCCTTCTGCACTATCCTTATCGATTTTCTTTATTGTTGTCATTTTTGCTATAAAATTCAAGTTAATACACTTATATACTACTACTTAATTGATCTTTATATCGTCGTCGTTTTTTGGTTGTTTGTTTGCCCTTCCCGCATTGCTGCAGTTTCTTGCCTACCTTCTGTAGACCCTCACTACCGTGTTGTTGTAGTGCTTCCTTAATTGATTTACCTTGAGCAACATCTTCGAGTACATTTCTTCCAGCAGCTACAGCTTCTTGTCCAGCAGTAGTTGCTAGATTTTTAACAATAGGCATTAGAAAACGCCCAACAGTACCAAACAAGCCAAAGCCTCGTTGGTATCGTGTTCCTTGAAAATAAGGAGTACTGTCCTTAATTGCCAACCCTCCTCCTTCTTGGGAATTTAGGAAAGGTTCCCAGTCAATACTATCCAAATCAACAGCTACGTGGGTCATTCAAAATAGCGACCGTTGAAAATGTAATGTTATTATACAATTACCCCAATGGAATTTTATGAGTTTCCCTGTCAGAGTTCTAATTTCTATAGTTATATCAGGATGTCTTTTACCTTGTAAACGGTGATGATGTTCAGTCATATATACTTCTGATACGCTATCTCCAGGTTTACCGCTGACATTTACAACTCTTAGAAGAGGAGCGGTTACGTTTCCTATAATGCTATTCTCAACTAATTTTGGTGCGTACACTAATAATTGTCGGACTCCTCCTGAAATGTCGGGCATATACTTAGCAACATGGCCAGAGTAAATTGTTTGAGATTCAAAACCAAGAGTATAAGCTAATTGTTTACTTAATTGAATATATTTTACATTACCCTGAAACCAAAACCAAAACCGATTATGAGTTTGGTCATGATGAACGGAGACCCATTGATAACGAGGATCGGATAATTGAATTTTGCTTAAATCAAGAATTTTCTTTTGGTATTCTGGGGGATAACCATATTCTGTAACTTCCATATTATCGGCATCTCTTCTCCGTCGAAAAAAACCCCCATAGATTTTTTTCTTTGCTTCTTCATTTTCCTCTTCTAATCTTATTTTTTCAAGTTCTTTTTCCCATACGTCTAATAAAAATGAATTTAAAGCTGATTCCAATGCAGTTTCTGAAGAAAAGAATAAATCAGGTATTTCAATGCGAGTTGATCGAACCTCATCCTTATATGTTCTAAAAACGGTTATTGATTCATTTGTTTCTGAGTCATCAAGTAAAGCAAATGAAAACGGGTAAATAATATTTGATAGAGCAACAGTCCAGGTTGAATCTAGTTCAAGAGTATCAGGCATTCGAACTGTAAATTTTGACGTGGTATTCCCGTCAAAATCTTCAGTGTTTGATGGCAAAACCACATAGAAAGAATCCATTATCGTACAATATCGGTATCTTTAATCCAACTGTTATTCGTATCGTTATATCCTATCCAACGAACAAAATGTTGTAATCCTTCGCGAGTTTTACGTGTTTTTAATATTTCAGCTATTCTGTGCGTGGTATCTAGAGATGTGGGAACCAGCTCCTCTAGATAGAATATGCCTTCAATTTTTTCTCCGTTCAAATCTTCGAGGCGATATATAGTAGGGTAGCGACTATCGTTAACTGTAACAATACGAAAGAGCTCGTCCGTATAATTGACCAAATAACCTTTTTCAAATTTTCCTTTTTCTTTAGCGATTCTAACAATTTGTCCAGGGTTAAGTTTTTGTTTTGTCTCTGTTTGATTAGAATTTTCCTTATATAGTCTCTCAAAAAGTTTTCTAGCGTTATTAAAGTTAACTGAATCAGGAGTTACCCCTGTCACACGATTTACACTAGCATTTATTCCATCTACTATATTTTGAATTGCTTCTACCCAACGAAGTGTATTTTTCTGGCTAAAATAACGATAAAGTCTTTCTTTTATTGTACGATTGGCACGCTCAGCCATTGAAGCATGAACATCAGGACTGAAAACAACACGTTTATCTATATCTTTTGAGTCAAAATAATCTCGCATTTTCTTGGCCTGAAACTCTAACCCTCGATCTGTATATAGACGATGAGGAAGAATGCCTTTGTTCGCAGAAAATATTTTTTCGAACGCCTCTATCATGTTCTCGGAATGTTTAGATTTCACAGGAGCGACAAAAATTTTTCTGCTTAATACATCAATGCAAACTAGCAAATATTTATAGCCTTCATTTTTTGAAGCAATTTTATCAAATATTGCCAAATCACCCTGCCAATCTGTATGTAGACCGCTAGGCCTTGTTGTCAGGCGAGAGAAACGTTTTCTTGCAGGGTAATGCATAGTATATACACGTTGTCTATGCATGAAATCATACACATCCTTTATTTTTAGTTTGGGAAACTTAATACGCGCTTCTTCATAAACGCGACGCATTCCCGCGTAGGAGGCAGGCGATTTAAGCGAATAATAAACTTGTTCCAAATGTTTTTCTAAAGTTTTTCCCATATTTTTGGTACAAATTTCTTTTTTGTAGAATTTATACTTACTAATACATGTCTACTCCTTTTCCCTCTTCCCGATTGGCTACTGCTACTCTCATCTGTTGCTGTTTCTTCCCCTCGTGATGCACGAATCATTTCCTTAACTAGCGGATCCTTAGAAATTCTTCCGAAAAGGAAGCTGAATCCCTTAGATATAGTTGGTCTTTCACCTGTAATATATTCAATAACATGACTAAAGTTACTTTCCTTAATACTTCTACCGCGAACATTTGTGTCAAATGTCCCATCATCGTGAATTAAAAATTTTTCTCTGTTTTGACCAATGTATTCCTCCAAATCGTCAGCAAACCTTTTTGAAATGATTCCTTTGAAAGGTGATACTCTTCTTGAATATGTTCTTTTATTCACAGGTGTATTTAATTCTTCCTTTTTAATATCATCATTTGGTCTCGAAGGTTTACTATTTTCTAGATATGGAACTACGTCAGGTTCTGAATTAGTTTGAATTATTACTTTTTGCGGCCGGTTTTCTATCTTTTGTTGCAATTGACGTCTTTTATTGTACAATAAATTATATTTTTTAGCACGCGTTTCTTCATTTATTTTTGGATCTTCGAGAGCATCCTTTATCA